TTTAAAATAATAATTTAAAAAAAATTTTTTTAGTTGTAGTTGGACACAATACATTTATTTTATTTATTTTTACGTAGTGCTGATGATCGAACCCAGGGCCTTGCAAGTGCTAGGCAAGCGCTCTACCTCTAAGTCATAACCCCAGCCCCAGATTTATGTTTCTTTTTTTTTAAATAAAAATATTTATCCATATAGTTCTGTGGCTTGATAACTCATTTCTTCTTATTCTGAATTCATTGTATAGATGTACCACAGTTTGTTTATTCATTCACCTATTGAAGGATATCTTGTTGTGGGGACAGACAAGGTAAGGCACCAAAGATAGCAGGAAACAGTTTTATTTGGCTGCAGCCAAGTTCAGAAGGCACAGCTTTTGCTGTAATCAAGTTTCAGAATTTTATACCCAACGTGTAAGGGGAGGGGCTCAGAAGTTCACAGTCTGCAGAAGTTCATATAAAAGCAGCTTTTTCTTTCACTGTTCTGGGCAAGTTAATCCTTCAAGGAAAACACTTGAGAAGGGGAGAGCTGCTTCTCCCCTTTATTCCTTCCCCCCTGACAGCTGTTACCATGGAGCCTAAGTGGTAACTTCTCTTATCTTAGAAATGGAGACATCTCTGTGAAGCCCCAGCTTAACGCTAGAGGCCTTGTTTACACATTTCTACAAAGTACTATACTGGATAAATGTTTATGAAAAAAACAGTAAGGGGGTGTCCAGCACCTGGAGTGCTGATTTCTTCCTGGCCAGAGGCCAAGTAAAATAGGGTAACATGAAAATAGGAAGTTTATCTACATTGAACTCTCTTGTAGAGACTCTTTTGCTGACAGTCCTAAAATTAGCTATGGTGAAAATTTCTGGAGAAGCCCAGGTAAGACTTTTTGTGGAGGAGGGGGTGCCACTACAATCTCAGTTGCTTCCAGTTTTTGGAATTATGCAAAAAGCTTCTGTAAATGTTTGTGTGCAGATTTTTGTGAGGTCATGTTTTGAAATAAGTTGAGTAAAATACCGGGGAATACAATTGTTGGATTGTATGGTAAGACTATGTTTAGCTTTCTAAGAAACCGCCAAATTGTCTTCCTTAGTTAGTTAGCTGTACCACATTACATTCCCACCAGTAATGAATAAGAGGTTCTGTAGCTCCACATTCCCACCAGCATTTGGTGTTGTCAGTGATTTGGATTTTAACCATTCTGAATGTGCAATAGTATCTCACTATCGTTTTAACCTTTTTCTTTCACTTTTCATTTTATTATTATGATATTAGGAAACAAACCCAGGAACCCAGGGCCAATATATACTCTACCACTGAGTTATATCCCAGCACTTTTTATTTTTTATTTTGAGGCAAGATCTCACTAAGTTCTCAGGCTAGCCTCAGACTTGAAAGTCCTCCTGCCTCGGTCTCTGAGTCTCTGGGTGTGTGCCAATGTGCTCAGCCAGTTTTAATTTTTAATAAGGTGTTCAATAAGAAAAATAACTTCTTAGAGTTAGTTTTGATCCTGAGATAAAAAGCTTCAAGGATGGCTGGTCATTATTGTCACCACTTCTTTTTGGTTTTTAACTTAACTGTTGAATTCAGATCTTTACCGTTTGTGTTCCATTATGACTCACCAGGTAAGCATTCCAAAAGTACTATTACCATTGCAACACTGTTGGAATTTCAACCTTCTCATTCATAAGTAATTAAACTAAAACAGACTATGGCTAATGTAAAGAAAAAAAATGAACAAGCTTTTATAATAAAATGCAACCAATTAAAAAATAATGGCCACACATATTGACTTCCCTCCAGATCACACTATATAATAAGTAAAAACAAAACAAACACACAAAAAGTATTTTTTACTTTGGGGAAACTTGACCAACAACACTTCAGCCAAATGATCAAGGTCAACGGTGATAAATCATATTAGTAGTTTTGATATGATGTAATGAAAATGGAACTTTACATCTGCTGTCTTCCTTCCAAAACCCATAAACTTAGTCTAATTATGAGAAAATTACCAAACAAATTTTAATAGAGAGACATCCTTCAATATGCCTAACTGTACTCCTCAAAATCGTCAAGATTGGCTGGGGTTGTGGCTCAGCGGTAGAGCGCTCTTCTAGCATGTGCGAAGCCCTGGATTCGATCCTCAGTATCACGTATAAATAAATAAATAAATAAATAAATAAAATAAAGGCATTGTGTCCAACTATACCTAAAATAAATAAATATTAAAAAAAATCAAGGTCACCAAAACCAAGGAAAGTATAAGTAAACATGATCGCCAGAGGAGCCTAGAGAGACATGTACACTGAATCTAATAGGGCCCTAGATAAGACTCTGCAACAGAAAAATGACATTAGATTAAAAAAATAAGGAAATGGAGTTTAGTTTATAGTAATAATGTTTTGTAATTCATTCATTAAATTCAGCAAAATTGCCCTACTAAAGTAAGATATTAGGAGAAATAAGGAAAACTGGTAGCTGGGTACATGGGAATTCTCCATACTGTCAACTCAATTTTTCTGTTAACTATAATTACTTAAGAAATAATTCTGTTAATTTTTAAAAAGTTTCACATTTGGATAAATCTGACTTTATTTAAAAAACAGTAATGTATCACGATCATATATTGAAAAATTGATGGTGATATATTTTTCTTGATTTTAGGCATAAATTTAAATTCTAGTTCTCACAAGCAATATTTCAAGGTTAATCTTTAAATATTTTCTTTTCATAATACATGTCTATGGAAAGGGCTTATGCTTTCAAATAATTTTACTATGAATTTAAGTCAATGGTAAGAGAAGACAAGCAGTGGCTTGGATGTGTTATACCTAAATTATACAGTGTTGGTTTGTTCTGTGATGGTATTTCTATTATTTTCCTATATGTATTCCATATTTTGTCCAATATGCCATATAATTATTATTAGAGAAACATTACATTTTTGTTTTCTATAATTATTTCATCCACTCACCAAATGTTTACAAAGTGCCTGTGCAAGAGAAAGGAAAGAAAACCAACATTCATTCTTCCACTTTAACCAAGATTTATTGAAGGTATTTTGTAAAGAGCATTTTGCAAGAAGTTTGGGATACAGCTTTAAACAAAACCTATATGGTTTCTGTCCTCAAGGAGTTTACAGTCTAGTGGGAAAGCAAATCTTAAACTATACAAATTTCTCCATTTAAAGTCTATGAAGGAAAATGAATGATATGTCAGCCTTTATAGAAATAGTTTTCAATAACTTTTCTCACCTAATTAACACAACGAATGATGTGATTTATATATAAGGAAAATAAGACTAAGGGAGATTATATGTCAAGGGCTTCAGAGTAAGTCCTCATATGGAATATCTAATTTAGATTTATCTGATTCTAAAGATCATGCTCAATAATACTGTACTATTGCCTGAATTTCACAAGCCTGTGAGGACAGATCTTATTTTGATTTTTCTAGTAAGAAAACTGATAATTAGAGGAAATAGAACTCAAATTTCTTGAATAATTCACTTATTTTCCCACTATGTCATGTTTCCTCAAAACAAGCTCTATAACTTGGATGATCTAAACTGTAAATTTAGGAATTAAATACATTTTTCTAAGCTTTTAAAAAGAAATTACAGGATTTCTGTCAAAACCAAGTACAGGTAAGCAAAGATTTTAACATAATTTGAGTAGATGCCTTACATCTCTTTTCTTTGCTTATTTTGTTATTTTTTTCATACTAATTAAATATTTCATCATATTTTGGACAAGACTATTGCTGTTGGTGAGACCATAGGTAAGAGGAAATAGTTCTGCAAACAAGTAAACTCAAATTAATTTTGGAGAAAAGTTTCCAAGAACAATTTCAATGTATATCACTCAGAATTTCACTGATATTTTTCAGGTATTGCAGATTCCTTGGATGTCCCCCATCAACGTAATAAGAGATCTTGAATTTCTCTTTGTAGTGGAAAAGCTAACAACATATCCATGTTTATGTAAGATGCAGACAAGGGAAAGAGGATTAAAATAAACGTCAAAGTTTTCACTAGAATAGAGGAAAGGAAGGTTGAGGTTGTGGCTCAGCGGGAGAGCACTCATCTAGCATGTGTGAGGCCCTGGGTTCTACCCCAAGCACCACACATAAATAAAATAAAGGTATTGTGTCCAACTACAACTAAAAAAAATAAGTATTAAAAAAAAAAGGATAGAGAAAAGGAATCAGAATCAGGAAAGGGAAAAGGGAAATACTTGGGAATGAGACTGGCCAAATTATATTGTTATATTATGTGTATGAACGAAGATGTAACAAATCCTACCATTATGTACAACTATAATGCACCAATAAAAATGTTTCAAAAACACAACATAATTAATCCTAAAAAAAAATTAAAGTTCTAAAGATTTCTTAATTTTTCTGTTACAATACGTTTCTGGTAGGCCTCAGTTATTTATGCAAGATAATTTTCTTTATTTTTGTTTTAGGGGGCTAGGAATCCAAGGCCTTGTGTATGTTTACATGCACTCCACCGAATTACACCCCCAACTACACGGAAGATAATTTTAAAGATGTGTAGTGCAGGATGCACTACACATTTTTAAACTACAGTAGACTTTTAGCCACTACGTAAAGCACACAAAAAAACCTTTTTTTAAAAAAATCTAAATTAGGCCCTAAAAGACTGGTACAATGAAGGCCTTCAGAATTGGCATGAAGCACGTATTTAACAACTTTTATGTTTTAGAAGTATCTTAAATTACACAGAAGATGAACGACCTTTTTAATGAAAACTATAGGACGCTGGAAGTTTGGCTACGAATCACGTTTACAATGGAGTACTCAGTAAAACTACCTTTACTGACTTTCTTGGGCTCCTCCCTGGCTTGGCTGCTTACACAGGAAACCAAGGTGGGTAGTGCCAGGGATGATCTCACGCTAGCGTGACGTCAAGAGCCCTTGATGTCAGAAAGTGGTTGCCAGGGGGACCGTTCGCCACCGACGGCAGAGTCGTGAAACCCCATCACTACACTACTGCCTCCGTTTTGGCTTCTGCAGGGTCTAAGCTGCTAAAGAAGCTTTAACCTAAAGGGGGCCTCAGGGAGAGAGGAGTTGTGGTGCTGCCGCCGAGAGCTCCACCTCCGTGGCTCTGGGTCCCGGGCAGGGGCCGGGCCTGTGGCGGTGCGCGGCGGCCGCTGGAGGCAGGCGGCGGCGGCGGCGGCGGGCAGCCAGCCCGGGTCTCCCTCGTTCGGTGCAGGGCCCGGAGAGGGAATCCGCCATATTGGAGCCGGAGCCGAAGGTGCCCCGGAGCCGCAGCGCGAGGCGTGTGGAAGTGACGGCCCTGGCCTCCACCGGGAAGGAGTCGTCTCTACTGGGGCCCGCAAGGCTGGGGAGTGAATGAGCTACTTGGGCTAGGCTCTTCCCCGCCCACTCCCTCCACTTTCTGCTGCCGGGACTGGGCCGGGAGGGGGCCGGAGCCGGCTGTGTAGGCGGCAGTGGCAGGATGTTCTCCAAGAAGCCGCACGGGGACGTGAAGAAGTCCACCCAGAAGGTGCTGGACACCAAGAAGGACGCATTGACCCGCCTCAAGCACCTGCGCATCGTCATCGGTGAGGAGCGAGGGGTGGCGGCGCCGAGGCCTAGATGGCCCGGCCTTCCCCTTGGGGGCCTTGAGGACTCTCCCTCGAAACCTGGCGCCGTGCGGGAGTGGAGGGCTAAGCGTTGCCTCTGCAGAGACGCGGAGGACGGATAATTTGGGGACCGGAAAACTTGGCACTCCGCAAACGCTTAATTACCATTAACACAGACCTATCCAATTTGGGTTAATAGTCTGAACTTATTTTTAAAAATTAGTATTGCTCCAAAAACTTAGATCTTTAAGACTTTAGGGAGACGTGTGTTGTGGATCATTGTGCTTTAGTGTCTATGTTTGCCAGATGACTGACTACTGCCATCCCCACCCAAATGAAAAGAAAAACAAAACCCTGTCTCAGACAATGCAGTCCTTAATCTTTCAAGTTTTTTGGCTGATGAGGGCAGGAGGAAGCAGTTATACTTCTTTGGGAAGTGGGTGGTTCCCAAAAGCTTGTGGGGAAGAGCCCCGCCCTTCTGTTAGTGCACCTTGTTCATCCTTACTGTCCTTTAAAGGGAAAACTATTATTAGTTATAGAAAGCAAGGTAGTTTATTGATTCCTTTGCTTGTTGAGATTTGTATAGAATTTTCTTTTTACTTAAAATTTTCTTACCTAAGTCATTTTGCCCTCCACTTACAGTTTTGCTGACAGACAAAACATTGCTCTTGAGTTTTGGATATAATGTTAAATGAATCTTTTGGATATTTGTTCAGTTAGAAGGCCTATGAGGGCTGTAATAATGCTTTTGAAACCTCTGGTTCAGTACTTGGGTTTTTTTCGGATGAAGAAATTTGAGGTAAAAAGGAAAGTTATTTTGCCTGCGTTGATTTATAGAATTAAGGACGACTGAGTTTAGGACTTAGATGCCTGAATTTTAGTTCATTTGGGTGTCTATCTTCATTTGGTCTACCTAATGAGTTTTTGTTTTGGAAAGTGACCTTTATTGAGTGATATAAATAAGTCATTTATATAAGGTGTATGTTTCTCTATTGTTTACTCATACTACCTGGATACTACCAAATATATCGAACATTTGTATGGTGCTTTACAGTTTTCAAAGTGATTTCTCAAAAATTATCATAATCTTTGCAATAACTCTAGAGGTATAGATATTATCATTTATTTTTCACAAGTGAGAAAGCTGATTTGAGACTATTAACTGGTCATCTAAGCTGCTAGAAGGTTGAATCACAACTGGAGCCCAGATTTTATGTCTCCAGCTTATTTTTTACTACATTTATGACAACTAAACTTTGTCACAGTAAATTGTTATTTATTCCTGTGGAATAGAAAGAAAACAGTTCAATCTAGGTTAGCAGTGCCAAAAGCAGTCTCCTTTTCAAGAAAATGTAAATCTAAATATGGTAGAGGTTGTGATCCTTTTGTTTTCATTCTACTTGAGAGTTAAGTAATTCAACAAAAGATTTGGCTAAGAATGTAACAGAGAAAGTGTATGTGTAAACATAGAAGATGTATTACAGATACTGGCATTTTGAAATTAGATACTTACTGGAACTTGATTCCTACTTGGGACAAGCTGTAGGTTTCATAAATGCAAAGTGGTAAAATTGAGTTCCAAAAGAGTATTGAGATTTCCTAAATTGACTGCTATAGTTCTTTAGTTATAGAATAATTAAGGAATGGTTTATTTATACCTCTTTGGCATAGAGAATTTTTCCCCCCAATCTGAGAGACATGACCACATGTGTCAGATATTTTGTAGGTCCTAGCTTCTTCAGTTTGAAAATAATTTTTAAAAAGGAAAAAAAAAAAAACAACCCTTTTGCTTTTTAGTAATTATGGACTTTTTAAAGTGGAGAGTGTACTGGAGTGTGTGTATACACACATATAAATATATATCCATATTCATGTATATGAACATTTACATTTATAATATCCTTAGGAACTTTCAAATGGTAAACATTCTGCTTTCAGATTTCTTGCACTGTGAGTGGAGGAGGTCCCTAGAGACTATATACTTCGGTAGTTTTAGAATGTTAGTTCTCAAGTAGGGACATTTTGCCCAATAGGAAACAATTCACAATGTCTATAGATACTTTTTCACAACCTGGGGAAGGTGCTCCTGGCATCTTGTGTACTAGATGTTGCTAAACATTTTACAATGCACAGGACAATCCTTCGCAACAGTACTTGAGTCCTAAATGTCTATAATGTTGAGGCTATGATACTTGTTAAAGCACAGAGTACAAGATGGACCTCCAAATTCTGTAATTGGTCTTAATATATCAATCAAATAAAACTGTTGTGTATTTTTAAATTGTTACAAATTATTTTATTTGAAATAGGTTAATAAATCAAGTGGGATAGAATAGGATGACAAAAGATGAACAATGTCTTAGAAGTATGCCAATTAGGTGTCTGATTTTACAGATGGAAGAGGCACTTTAAATCCTTTTTGGAAATACTTTTTTTTTTACTTAAAAGTAATTTTAATATTTATAAATTCAGTTGATTATAAAATTTTTAAAAAGGAAAACCCATTGTATTCTCTATTATTGAATGCTATTTCACTAAGTGATCTTAAGGAAAAACATACGTTACTACCCCTGAGCCTTCTTCATTGTACCCCCAAACCATGAGAATTTCCTTCCCTGAGTAAGTGAGCTTCCTTACCATAATGGCTTTGCTCTGGTGCTGAGAACTATGCTCTCTGATTGGGTTTCTCACCTGGACTAACTTTAGTCTCCATCATTTCTTTAGCCAAGTTTTGTTTGTTTTTGCCTCCTGAACTTTTCCACATCCAGTTCCTTCTCTTCTCCCAGGAGAGTGTTGGTGTCCACACCTGGCCTGCAGACATGCAGATTTATACACACAGTATTGCTGGTTCTAAGTAGGGTTTTATTTTTTAAAAAATATTTAAAAAAAAATGTTTTTGTAGTTGTGTATGGACAGAATACCTTTATTTTATTTGTTTATTTTTATGTGGTGCTAAGGATTGAACCCAGCGCCTCACACTTGCTAGGCGAGCTGTCTGCCACTGAGCTACAGCCCCAGCCCCGTAAATAGGGTTTTAAATAAGGTAATCACAATAAGGAAACTATTTTACAAAGTAATTGTGCATTACCAGTTATATAGTCTTACTTTTGTTAGGTCCTATCTGAACTATGTTGGACCAAACAAAACTGCATTCACTTAGGGTGTTTGTAGGAGTTCAGTACTTCCAAATAAATGAGAACATAGTCATAATTTAAATGTCTTGTGAAAACCGTTTTTCCTGGCTTATGCTCCTACCATGGGATAATTTCAGTTGAATGCATATAACTTGATTCTGAAGAATTTAGATTTAAATCTGCTGTTTATTGTTTTGATATTTAATTTGTAGGAACTAGAAGTCAGGGTTTTCTTAAAAAAAAAGCCTTGTCTGGTTTCTAAAGCTTTGTGGTATCCTTTTTTACTATTCTTCCTCCTATTTCATAACAAATATCCTTAAGATAATGATAGTAAATTAGCAATTGTAAAGTGACTAAAAATGCTTGGCTTATAGTGTGTATTGACTAAAAGTTAATTTGCTTCTACTTTAAGATAGCAAGCCAACAATTCAGTTCTCTTTATTTAAAAATAAAAAGATAAGTGCTTATTTGGCTAAAAATAAATTGTTAGATCATTGTTTCTTTTTTAAAAAATATTTTTTTTTAGTTGTAGTTGGACACAATACCTTTATTTTATTTATTTATTTTTTTGTGGAGGTGAGGAATGAATGCAGGGCCTTGCACATGCTAGGTGAGCATTCTACCGCTGAACCACAACCCCAGCCCAGTTAGATCATTGTTTCTAACAGCTTGATATATAATCTGATATAGTAAAACTGCACATATTTAGAGTTTGTACAATGACACTTATACACTTTAGGAAATCATCATAGCAGGTGAGATTAAAGTTATCTGGACAATCAAGATAAACAGCCAATGACTGGCCTATAGCTAAATGGTAAACATGTGCCTGCCAGGCATGTACAAAGCCTTAAGTTCTATCCCCAGCACCTCATTAAAGAAAGAAAGAAAAAACATAAACATAGCCAGGTAAGCAAGATAATATATTTATAATCTCCCCAAATTTCCTCATGTCCCTTTAATTCCTTTCTTTCCACCCCTACTTGCATCCCAGTCTCAGCAACAACTAATTTATGGTTACTCTAGAAAAGTTTGTGTTTTCTAGAATTTTATATAAATAGAATTATACAGTACAATCTTTTTTTTTTTTTTAATCAGGGGTTGAACCCAGGGGTGGTGCTTAATTATGGAGTCACATCCCCAGTCCTTTTTTATTTTTTATTTTGAGATAGGGTCTCACAAAGTTGCTTGGGGCCTCTCTAAATTACTGAGGCTGCCTCAGCCTCCCAAGTCACTGGGATTACAGGCATATGCCACTGTGCCTGGCTCAGTATAATCATTTTTTGTTTGGTTTCTTTTACTCAGCCTCATTATTTGAAAATAATCTATATTGTGGTGTGGTATGTCAACAGTCAATGCTTTTTTATTCATCATTATATGGCTGTACCACAGGTTTTTCCATTCACCTGTTGATTGGGGATGTTATAAATAGAGTTGCTATGAAGTATACTTGTTGTGTAGACACATACTTTATTTTCTCATGGATAAATACCAAGGAGTGGAATGACTGGGTCAGATGGTAGGAATTTATGTAATTTTTTAAGGAACTGCAAAATTGTTTTTCATCATTTTATATTTTCAACAGCAGTGATGAGGGTACCAGTTCCTCTGTATATGCACCAACACTATTCTGTATGGGCAGTTTTCTTAATTTTAGTCTTTATAATGGTTATAATTAATATTTTCTGATGTCTAATAATGCTGAATATCTTTTTTTAATATTAAATCACACAACACATTTTAAAGATATCTTTGTTTTGTTTATTTTTTTTTATGTGGTGCTGAGGATCGAACTGCCGCAGTCCGGCTGCAGCAAAATAAGGGGGGGCGGTGTGATGAGCAGCT